ACAGCAGTGGGGGGGACGAGGCCGGGAGAGGCGGCAGCGCGGGGCAGGGGCGTGGAGGGCGGCGCGAAAGAGGGGCAGGGGAGCGGAGGCGCAGGAAGCCCAGGGGGGGGAACGGAGGTGAGCGGGCGAGGACGGGGCGGCCCCTAGGGCCTGGGAGGGCGGCCCTGGAGCGCGGGGCCTCCCAGCCGTGGCCCGAGACGGCGAGGCCTCCCATGGGAGCGAGAGGCCCCCTCAGAGGCAGCGGGGCCTCCCAGAGAGCGCTCTGCGAGGAGGGGGCGATTTGGGACGGCGGCTCCCCCCCCCCCCCCCCCCCCCCCTCCCCCCCTCCGAGGGCAGAGGCAGGCCTCCCAGGGGGGAGTCCGAGCAGACGTCCGATGCATCGCCGAGGCATCGGCGCTGCCTCGCCGACGCCTCGGCGACGCAGCGGCGACGTCGGCGCTGGGAAAATCAGGCTCCGCATCGAGCCGCATCGCCGATGCCTCGGCGATGCGGCGCGATCCTCCGACCCCGTCTGCCCGGGCCCCATCCAGGAGGCCCAGAAGGGAGGCGCGACCGTCTGCGAGGTGGTGAGCCCACTGAGGTCCGCGTAGTCGATGTTGTTTTCGTTATCGCCTTAGCACGGCTGCTGACCGGGGCGGCGGGGGGGCATGTGATGGAGGACGCGGCGCAGGTGGGGTGTTGCGAAATCTCCCTCCCGCACGTACGTCTAGAATCCTCGGTGCAAGAAGTCGGCACGGAGGCTGTCGCGCATCCGAAGAGAGGCCCAGCGAAAGGTCCAGAATTCCAGCCGGCACGTTCGAGCCCACTCCAGAGCTTGAAGCATGACCCTCGCTTTCTCTTCAACAGCTGGCTTCGCCTAGCTGGCGAGGATTGCTACTGATCTCCCAGAGACAGCTCATGGCATGCAGCCGTGCGCGACTGCTTCGCTTCGCGTGAAGTTCTCACAGCACAGCTCTTGGAAATGAACTGCGGCATACCTCTTGCCCGCTCCCGCGTACCACGGGCAAACGCCACCGACAAGAGCGCGTCAAAACTTCGACGTTTGACAATGTCTCGAACGCGACATGTCGGCAGCAGCTCAGCAATCGTTGGCCATCTTGACAGCAAGAGGGGCTTCTCCGAAGTGCGTGCTGCGCTTGCCAGCGCTCCCGTATCGCAAGGGCGATCTTGCACGAGGGCCACCACATCCCCAGCTCGGACTAAGTTTCCTCCGCCTCCTCCTCCTTCTCCTCCCTGTCTCTCCTCCTACCCGAGGTTCACCGCAGTCCCCGGAGCCGAGCACGATGATGCGGTTCGTCGACGCAAGCGAGTTGCCGTCCACCACCAGCTGGCATGTCAGGCCCAGAGTGCAGGACATGTCCTTGTTATGGGATTGTTGTTCGATCATACGGGAGGGGAAGGAAGAGCAATCAGGAAGGATGAGTAAGAACGGTGATGAGCACAAGAGGACGAGGGGGAGGAGGAATAATGGGCAGAAGGAGGCAGCGCATGACGTGTCCAGGAAGTTGTTCGCCCCCGCGATCGAAAGGTCGCCGATGGTGTAAGAGTAGTTTACCTTGGGCTCCTCCACCCTAACGCCCTCTCTCCCCTCCCATCCATCCCCATCCGATCCCCCTCCCCCCATCAGTAATCAACCCATCCCCTCCTCGAGTGGCCGCCGGCCAGGTTCAGTGATCAAACACCCCAACAATCTCTGTCCTAAGTGCACATTGCGGCAACAACTGGATAATGCACGGGCACCCACTCACAATGTTGCATTGGTTTGGTCCGGGGTCATGGGGGGAAGCGTAGTTTCCACAGTGCGCTGCCGCATCATCTCTGTCGGAAGGTCATGCACAGTGATTGGGGGTGCACACACCATACATGTTGCTGTTAACTCTCTCGCTGCTTTGCAGTGGCTCTTGACAGGGATGGCGGAGGTGCCCCCATGTTGCCCGAAGGGCGAAGTCACATGCACTGATGCGCCTGCCGCACCCTGCGAGCGTCGCGCACGCGGTGCACCTGGCGAGCCTGGACCTCGCGTCATGATCCTCATCCCTGCCCCTCCCTCCCTCCCTCCCCCTCCTGGTCCCCCAGTCCCTCCTCCTCCGCATCCTCCTGGGGAAACCAAAGGGAACGATACTACTACTCACTAAATCTCTCCCAGGGAGCGTTCTGACCAAAACTTCGAGGCGAATCCAGCGACGGCAACGAGAGCCTCCCAGGAGGCCCAACAAGGGGAAAACGAGGAAATGGTAGTGGTATGGGTACCTCTGCCTCCTCTGACCTCCTCCTCCTCCTCCTCATCCTCCTCCTCCTCCTCCTCCTCCTCCTCCTCCTCCTCCCCCTCCTCCCCTCCTCCTCCTCCCCTCCTCCTCCTCCTGCCTCCTCCTCCTCCTCCTCCTCCTCCTCCTCCTCCTCCTCCTCCTCCTCCTCCTCCTCTCCCTCCTCCTCGCCCCTCATCCTCTCTTCTCCTCCTCCTCGTCCTCCTCCTCCTCTCCAGCCTTCCTCCTCCTCCTCTTCCTTCTCCTCCTCCTCCTCCTCCGCCTCCTCCTCCTCCTCCTATTTTCCCCATCCCCCTTCCCTCTCCTACTCCCCAGCCCCATCGTGCCCATCCCCACCCCATCTATGGACCATCCCCTGCTCCTCCCCACCCTCCTCCCCGCCTACCCATCCACACACACACACACACACGCACGCACACACGCGCGCGCGCGCACATACAAACAAACAAACAAACAAACAAACAAACAAACAAACAAACAAACAAACAAACAAACAAACAAACAAACACACACACACACATACCCTTTCCACATCCGCCGCCCTCCCTGCCCACCCGCGAGATCCCCGACGCCGTGAGTTTCGCATGACATGGGCCCCATAGCTTTCGGCCCATCTCCAGGACTGGTTTTTCGTTGCTCGCGGGTCGCTGGTGAATTGCTATGGGGCCCAAGAGCAGCCCTCGTGGGCCCAAACTCTGGAAAACTAACCGCAAGTTCTGTTGCTCTGGTCACTGAATGAATGGGCCCCCCGCTCATCGTGGGCGGGGGGGGTGTGGGGGTGGGGGGGGTATTTCCCAGGGAAGGTCAGGCCAGCGGTTGGGCCAGCCATTGTCACTTGCACAGCGCTAGACTTGCAGCTTTGGACTTGCGGTTGGGTTGTGAAGCGTGAGCCCGATCAAGCACGGCCTGGCTTGGCAAAGAATCAACGATCATAGCACACATCGGCCAGGCACGGCTGAGGGGTACGCCTGCGAGTCTGGATCAGCTCCCCAACAGATCGTGTAGCCGTCCTGGCGCGCCGTGCTGGGACCCCACCCGTCCCTGCTCGCCGCGTGACTGCAGACGAGCACCGCGGAGGCCTGCTGTCGAGGTCCGGGCCATCTGTCCAAAGCATGCGGAGGAGGGCAGGGGGAGGTGAGGCCATGGAGCAGGGAGCGTAGAGAAAACGGTTGTCATGCGGGGCAGAGGGAGGGGAGGAGGGGAGGGGGGAGTGCAACTACCTCGCATGGTCGGGACGAAGAACGCAGCAGCTGCCATGTCCAGAGAGCTGCAGATGGGGCGGGGGAGTCGCGACGCATCGCTGCGTTGATGCGGCCAGGGATCTCCAAAAGCAGGGGAGGGGGAAAGAGAGAAAGAGAGAGAGAGAGAGAGCAAGAGCGAGAGGACAGACAGGCAGGCAGACCGACAGACAGACGGGCAGGCAAACAGACAGACAGACAGACATACGGACAGACAGACCGACCGGCCGACCGACCGACCGACAGACAGGCACACTGGCAGACAGACAGACAGACAGACAGGCAGACAGGCAGGCAGGCAATCGGACCAAAAAGCGGGCAAACAGACAGAAAAACATACGGACAGGCGGACAGACAAGAGAGAGAGAGAGAAAACATATAAAGAGACATAACAAGAGAAACACAGAGAGAAAGACAAGAGAGGGACAACAAACAACAAAGAGGCAGAGATAGAGGAAACAGAGAGAGAGAGAGACAGACAGACAGATAGAGAGAGAGAGAGTGCGAAAAGAGAGAGAGAGAGAGTGACATATTTGGACGCCCGAAATGGGCACGGAAACAATGGACACAATGCCCAACAGCAAATGTTGTCCCGAACCAACAGCGGCCGCTGTTGGGCAGGCGGCCTTCTGTCTCAAATGGGCACAGGCCGCAGCGGCGCGGACGGCGAGTCCTGTTCAAAATGAACAGGAACTGCTGTTGGGCATCGTACCCATTCTTCCCGTGCCCATCTCGTTCGTGCAGAACATAAAGGAGAGAGACTGACAAAGAGAGAGAGAGAGAGAGAGAAACAAAAAAAAATGAGAGAGGGGGGGCAGGACGATCGTACCCCGCCAAATGGCGCGTGGCGACTGGGGGGGTCGTGGAGGCGCCACAGGAGGTCTCCACGAGGGGTGCGCCCGAAGGGTCCCCACAAGATGTCCTCACGAAGGGCCACTGCGAGAGGTCCGCTGGGCCGGCGCCCACCACTGATTCACCACAAGAGGACCCCTGACCCTTTGGGGTGGGCCCAAGTTAGGAGGGCGAAAAAAGCATTAGGGGTAGTGACGGGCCTGTTTTCCACCACCACCACCACCATGAGTTGGAGGGGGAGGAGGAGGTGAAAAACGAGGAGGAGGAGGAGGACAAAGAGGAGGAAGAGGAGGATGAGGGGGAGGAGGAGCAGGAGGAGGAGGAGGAGGAGGAGGAGGACCCCCTCCCCCTCCAACTCATGGTGGTGGTGGTGGAGAACAGTCCGTTCAGGAGGGAGCCGTGCGCCCCCATTCCGTCCTACCCGCAGCCTGCCGGAGCCTCGCAGCCGCGGGCACCCGCTGCCACAGCCGGGGCGACGATGGAGGATGAACGGGAGGGGAGCGAGGAAGGAGGGGGGGGAGAAGGCACGAGAGAGAGGAGAGTGAAGTGCGAGGCGGGAGGAGAGGGGAACCAGGAGCAGGGACGGGGAAGAGAAGGGCAGAGGGGGAGGGAAGAGAGAGGAACAACGCCATCAACATAAACTTTTGGCGGCGCGCTCCGCGCGCCAGGGCTGAGGGGGCCCAGCGCGGATCCAAGAAGCCCGCGCGGAGCGCCAAAAGTTGATTATGTGTATGGCATGTTTTATTCTTCGAAGGAAGGAGGAGTGAGGCAAGGGGAGGAGCGGAGGGGGAGGCACGGAGGAAGGGGGGACGAGGGAGGACGGAGGGGGACGAGTGAGGAGCGGAGGGGGAGGCACGGAGGAAGGGAGGAGGGGACGAGGCGGGGGCGAGGAGGACGAAGGACGGGGGAGGAGGAGGTAGGAGGAGGGAGGAGGCCAGCGCAGACAGGGCCGTATTTAGAAGAAAGAAAGAGAGAAACAACTGCATAACACACAAACTTTTGGCGCTCCGCGCGGATTTCTTGGATCTGCGCTGGACCCCCCCTGGCGGCGCCTCTGGCGCCGCCCCTGGCGCGCTCCGCGCGCCAGGGAGGAGGGTCCACCGAAGATCCAAGAAATCCGCGCGGAGCGCCAAAAGTTTATGCTTTGGGCGTTCTTCTTCTTCGACTCTTAGCGTACCGCGACGAGGCCGCCTTCAGCCCATCTGCGCCGACCCGAGGAGCTCCTCCGCCTGCTCCTCGGTGAGGTACTCCCACGGATTATGCAGGCCGCAGGGGGAGGGGTGGAACACCTGCTCGACGGCGAACCTGGGGGAGTGGTGTTGGCATTCACGCGTCATCATCACCATCAGCAGCATCCTCATCAGCAGCATCAGCAGCTCCAGCGGGGGTAGCAGCGGGAGCCTCACCCGAATCACTAGCATCATGAACATCACCAACATCATCACAAGCACCATCGCAACCATCAGCGTCAACAACCATAACTAATACGCCAACATCATCAATGCAAACAGCCATCAGTTTCAAACAAAGTGAATGCGATAACGTTTCAGCTGCTCGCGTGTCCATCAGCACGTAAAACCACAAACAGTTGACCTCCGCCCTCTTCGTCTGTGAACGCCCCCCTTTGAAACAACTCCGTGCTTCCCGCCAGCACCTGGGCAAACCACGACAGGGTAAGACGCGGGTGGGGCGGGCGGAGCCTGGCAGGAGTATCGGGGGGGGCGAGCCCTAAAGGGCAGGCTGGACAGGCGAGACGTTGAAGCGGGTGGGTTGGGTTCGAGCGGGTCGGGCGGACGGAGCCTTCAAGCGGGCGGGCGGGCTTCCAGGCAAACCAGCGGGGCATCACAGCGGGCTGGCCGGGCAAGCGGACCCTCAAGGTGCGGGGCGAGCGAGCGGGCTGCCACGCCGGCGAGCAGGCGGAGTCATGAAGGGCGGGCCGGGAGGGCGGCTGCGCGGCGAGAGTGCCAAAGATACCACTCCCCATGGCATCCCAGGAGCTCGCGGAAAGTGGCGACGGTTGCGCAGCTGGCAGCACCCCGGGCGGGCGAGGTCCTACGTGGATCCGCGCAGGGCACCACTCCAGTGGACCTCCCAGGAACTCGCGAAAGTGGCGACGGTTGCGCAGTGGGCCGCGCCTGGGGCGGGCGAAGTCCTGCGAGAATCAGCGCAGGGCACCACTCCGGAGGGCCCCCCAGGAGCCAGAAGCTAACGACAAATGGCGATTGTTGCGCGGTTGGCAGCGCCCACGAAGGCGAGGACGCATCCTGACCTGGTCAGGACAGCACTCGCGGGACCTCCGAGGAACACACGGAAATGGCGACGCAAAACAGGAAGCAAAATCTCGATCTCCATTCCCACCGTGATCATCATCATCACCACCACCACAACCATCGCCATCACAATCATCATACTCGTCAGCATCATCATCATCATCATCCATCATCATCATCATCCATCATCATCATCATCATCATCATCATCATCATCATCATCATCATCATCATCATCATCATCATCATCATTGTCATCATCAGCATCATCATCATCATCATCATCATCATCATCATCCTCAACATCATCATCAATATCATCATCAACATCAGCACCATCATAATCGTCGTCATAATCATGATTGCCGTCATCGTCGTCATCATCAGCAGCATAACCACCATCATCATCATCATCATCATCATCATCATCATCATCATCATTAGCAGCAGCGACAGCAAACATCATTACCATCATCATCATCATCAGCATCATCATCATCATCATCATGAGCACCATCATCATCGCCATCATCAACATCCTCATAATCCGCGGCATTATCATCAGCAGTATCATCGCAACCATCATCAGCAACAGCATCAGCATTACCATCGTCATCATCAGTGTCATCAGCATCATCAAAATCATCCGCATCATCATCAGACAGCATCATCATCTTCATCATCATCATCATCATCATCATCATCATCATCATCATCCTCAGCGTCATCAGCATCACCATCTGCGTCATAGGCATCAGCAGCACTATCATCATCATCATGAGCAACATCATCAGCATTACCATCGTCATCATCATCGTCATTATCGTCATCGCCAGCACCATCATCCTCATCAGCAGCAGCAGCGACAGCAACATC